TTAAACTATCCTTATCTTTAAAAAGAATGGAAAAATATACTTCCTACCAAACACTATAGAAATGATCCTTGACTTACAATGAGATTATGGCTCAATAAGCCCATTATAAATTGAAAATATTATAAATCAAACATGCATTTAATATACAAATAATCTAACAAATATAACTTAGCCTAGCCTACCATAAATGTGCTCAGAGCACTTTTTTCAATTGGGCAAAATCATCTAACACAAAGCCTATTGTATAATAAAGTACTGAATAGCTTATATAATTTTTTTAATACCTGTATCCAAAAACCATTGGCAACACTGTGCAGTGTGGAGTGTGGCTTGTTTGCTCTAGTGATCACATAGCTGAATGAAAAAAAACGATCACAAGAAAAACTGTAGGATACAGCTAACCTAGGAAAAAATTAGAATTCAAAATATTCAAAGTATGGCTTCTACTGAATGCTTATGGTTTTAATCATCATAAAGTCAAAAAAACTGTTAAGTCAAAGTATCGTAGGTTGGAAACCATCTGTACTTCCAAAGAACTCTCCATTTAGGGACTTTGTAGTATTAATAGCACAGTTTTATGTAAGCTGTTGAAGAGTTAGACTAAAATGTACTTTTCTGAGTTTCCTGCTGGCAGTCCTGATTTTACCATTTTTTGCTGGCAAAAATGGCAAATCACTTCTATGCATGAAGATGACATCAAACCCTGAGGCACACTCAACTACAAACCACCTTTCCACTGATTCATGCCCAAGCTATTCAAACACACACCAGCAGAGGGACTCATACACAACCAAATATGTAAAACAGAGCTGACTGTCCTAAGAGGACCACATTCAATTCTAGAAAAGTAAACTTTGGAACTATTAAAATAAGCTGTCATTCACTTCCTCCCAGTTTTTCCTCATTGGCTTACCAGGTCTCTATTCCCTTACATTAGGTTCATCCCTTCCCAGGTTTCTTACCGTAGCTCCTCTAGGGTTTGTCGAACTTCTCTCAAGGAATCAGCATCAAGGTTATTAATGAGTTCTTTTCGATAACGTATAATGAAGGGAATTGTGTTATCATCATTAAAGAGACGAATGATGTTGGCACAAACCCAAAGTTCAATGTTGGTTCTCTCAGATAAAACCTACAAGTTAAAGATATATAGTGATTTAAAACACTGAAAATTAGACATCTATGTTATATAGCTTCAAATACAGTATTAAATATTGCTTTCCAGGCACTTAGAAAACAAATAGTTTTTAAAGGAAACCATATGAATTATATATATGAACTGGAAGAGCATTTCCAATAATGCAATGATGCTCTTTTCATTTCTCAAAGTAATAGCAAAGATCAAGGAGTTGGTAACTCACTATGTTGGCCTGAGTACAGAGAAAAAGCATTTTTAATCACCACTAGTGACAAGATACAATGGTTTAACCTTTGGAGGAAGAACAATTTGGCAATATCTATCAAAATTTACAATGACTAAATTGTTTGACCCAATAGTTCCACTCCTGGAAATTCATCCTAATATTGACATACCTCTGGTAAATACACTATTTTAAATGATTTTTCTTTTTGAAGAACTGTTTCTAGCATAGTAAAATTCATCAAAAACCTAAATTTACAATGGGGAACTGGTAAATGAATTACAATATGCCCAGTATTGTAGAATACTGTGCGACTATTTAAGAATATAACGCAACCCTAAATGAACTGATAGGGAATGGTTCATAAGAACATGGACCATGATTATTTGCAGGAAAAGTAACTGGTCAGCTGAGGATTAAGGTAGGAAGACCCATCTATATTTTTTAAATTTTGTAACATGCACAGATACCACACAGTCAAAATAGTTAAATTATTTTTAAAAATGAGTCACAGGTCCCAGCAAAATGTACATGTAAGCAGAAAAGTCAACCTGGAGAAGAGAAAGAATAAAACTCAATTTCAGTAACTATTCCCAAAGAAAAGAACAAAAGAATTTAAGTTTTATTATAATTTCAACCTGGATGCCCAAGATCTGCCAAAACTTGAGAAGTGGGAGGAACCTCAGGGGAAAAATTATTTAAACATTATAATCAACTAACAAAATCAAGTCAAGATATGACTGAACTCCAGGAACTATAGAGGACACCTCATTCTCTAGGTATCTAAAATTCTGAGACATACATCTCTATTTCCCATTCTGATAGTTTACTACCAAATCTCTGATAAGGGCATCAATTTTTACATCTGTAGTCCTTACTCATCTCAGCAAAAGCTCCAAACACCAACTACTTAACATATTCTCTCAGAAATCTAACTGGGCATTTCGACCTTGAATTTGCAAAGTGTTCTTCCTCTCAAACTTATTCCTCCACTTTCCTCATATAACTAATATCTTTTCAAACAATGCAAGCAGGAAAGTCTTCCATTTCCTTCAACTCTTAAACCAATCCATCATTAAGAACTGGTCAACTCTAACTACAAAATAACTTCCTAAGTCTCTGTGTTTCTTCTGCCCTATACCCCAGTCTATTTCTACTATTTTCTACTGAAATAGCCTGCATTTGCTCCAGTCTCATTTTCTATACAACACCAATAATAGTCTTTTCAAAATGTCTATCTGATCACGTCACTTAACTGATTTTCCATTGCATTTGAAACCCAAACTCTTTGCCATGACCCAAAAGACAGCAGCCTCCCTTTATCAACCTCATCTTATCCTTCCTTCTCCCAATGGTTCTGGAACAAGCCCAGTTGCTTCCCTCTTGAATGAATTCATGAAGCTGCTCCACCATATGGAAATGCTCCTCTTCAGCATTTTCTCTCTTAAACCTGTACCTTTCCCCATTTATTATTCTAGTCAACAACATCGTCATCCACCACAGAGACCTTAAAGGATTTTGTGGTTATCTCCTCCAAACTATGGTTACCTCTTTGTTATGTAGCAGCTATTGGTTTGACAGTACTTGACCCCAATTTCAGCTCCATTTGCTTCAAATAATTTTTATAAGAATTAACAGCCAGCTAAATTAAACCAACCAACATGAAACTCAAGATCTGGACTGGAATTCTGGGCCCCAGTACAATGTCTTCTTCTGGAAAAATACAGTTTGTTGATGTAGATCATGAAGCTGTAACTATTTTGCTATAAAGAAGACAGTAGTACTGAAAGAATAGTAGAAATACACTGACCCCCAACTTTCCTATTTTGTAGGTCAATAAATCTCCTTTATTTCTTTTTTTTTTTTAATATTTATTTTTTGTAATTGTAGTTGGACACAATATCTTTAATTTTTATTTATTTATTTATTTTTATGTGGTGCTGAGGCTCGAACCCAGGGCCTTGCATGTGCGAGGCGAGCACTCTACTGGTGAGCTATAACCCCAGCCCCTCCTTTGTTTCTTAAACTAGTTTAAGATGGGTTTTCTTTTTTTGTAACCAAAAGCATTCTAATTAAAGATGTCAACACCACTGTGGATTCTCTATCACACCCATTTAATCTGTCACCAAGGAGGAGAATAAACTTGTAAGACATCTGTTCCCTCCCCTTGAGCTCCTTTCTCACTAATGAAATATTTTATCTTTAATACATAGTAGTATGTTGTTGTCATTATTATTGTTCTCTATCCATCCAGCCTCTCTGCATGACTACTGATTATATTTTTTAAATATAGATATAATCAGAAACTGCTATGGTTTGGATATGAGGGATCCCCCAAAGCTCCTGTGTTAATGCAGGAATGTTCAGAGGTAAAATGATTAGATTATGAGAGTTGTAACGTATCAATTGTAGCAAGCCAATAGCTGCTATATAACAAAGAGGTAACCATAGTTTGGAGGAGATAACCACAAAACCTTTAAGGTCTCTGTGGTGGATGACGATATTGTTGACTAGAATAACAAATGGGAAAAGGTACAGGTTTAAGAGAGAAAATACTGAAGAGGAGCATTTCCATATGGTGCAGCAGCTTCATGAAGGTATTCAAGTGGGTTCAATCCCCACTGGGTTCAAGTCCCACTACTGGGCTGGGTAGTAACTCTGGGCTAGTGGGGTATGACTGAAGGAGGTGGGCAGAAGAGGGGATGCCCTTAGGGATTGTATCTTGTTCCTTCAGCTCCTCCCTTGCATTCTTTCTGCTTCTAGGCTGCCATAAATAGAGCAATACTCTTCCACCATGCTCTTTTGTTATGTTTGGCCTCACCTTGGGCCCAGAGCAATGGAGTTGGCCCACCATGGACTGAACCTCTGAAACTGTGAGCCAAAATAAACTTTTCCTCCTCTAAAGTGTCCTTGATAGGTATTTTGGTCACAGCAACAAAAAAGTAACACAGACCCCTTGTTTTTTCTTTTCTTTTTTGAACATCATCCAGTGATTTTAATCTACTTACTGGAAAAGGTGTAACCACGTAGCATAGTTTTAAAATTCCTTCCCAAGTTGAGGCTCAAACTTTTACTGTCCTCAAAGTAGTTAGCAATATAAAAAGGAAGATAAAATATTAACGCAAACAATTACAAATAAAACAGCACATGCCAGACAGTAAGTAGTACCACGCTTTCAGAAAAGAACAAGCTTTCTTTGGGATAATCAAGAGGTGCCTATTGCAGGGGTAGCATTTCACTTGACCCTTGAAAGACAGGCAAGATTCTGAAAGATGGTAATGAGAAATGGAAGTGACAAAAATGCTCATTTTGAAACTGTGTGATTGTTAGTGTAATGAGAGACTATACTAAATAGATCAGCTGTTGCTGAGTAACAGAATTTAAAGTTAAGCATAGTGGAGCACCAGTGACTGGGGAAGAGGATCACAAGTTAGAGGCTAGTCTTGGCAACCCTGTCTCAAAATAAAATAAAAGAGGATGGGGGGTGTGGCTCAGTGGAAGAAACCCCCTGGATTCAATCCCCAATACCACAAAAAAAAAAAAAGTCTAAGCCAAAATCCCAGACTCACACTTGGATAATACTAGGTCCTAAGGAATCCAGCTAGCATCACAGGTATTAAGGGAGTATACGTTGCTACTTATGCAAAACTGCTCATTGAAATTAAAACTAACAAAACTACATAAGCAGTCATAACTTTTGGGCCTCCAAATCTCTTCTATGTTGATTTTGTCAAACATTATTTTACTTCATATTACATGTCAAAGGCCATATTAAGCCAGTAATAACCAAGATATTACACTTGATCTTAGCCAAAAGGCCGAGAAGCGATAATAACCAAGATATTAAAAAACCAAGTTCCCAAGGCTGTCAGGGTACATTAGAGGCAGGGCACCTACCTAGCACACAGATCCTATGTTAGATTCTCAAAGCACACACACACATACACACACACACACACACACACCCCAACTCCCTGTTCTCCAGGCACTAACAACCTAACAGAAATCAACAGTTAAAATATAGTGTGATCTCTATCTAGTTGAAGCATAAGTACACAGTTTTAAGAGCACAGGAGCACAGCAACAACAACAAAAAAAAAACAAGTAAATGAAGGTATCTCCAGACAGCTAAATGAGGAATGAGGGGCAGGAATCCAGGAAGAATGAACAGCATATCAGAAATCAGTGATGAGAAACCACTGTACATTCTTTAAATTGCTAAAAGTTCAGTAATGCTGAAATGTGCATGTGGTAGAAATGCAAAGATGGATGGGGCTAGATGATAATTCTATAAAGAAAGAATTTTGTTTCTTCTGTGCGCAGAAGGAAGACATTCAAGGACTGATCTGCTCATTTCTTGGTTTCAGTGAATGAGTCAAATCTGTAAGCTGTTACATTTGAGTTAACAAGATCTGTGGACTGCAACGGTGGTTCACAGAGTGTGTGGTCCCAAACCAGTAGCATAATTACATCATCTAAGAACTTGTTAGAAATGCAAATTCTTGTGTGCTGCCTAAAATAAACTGAATCAGAATTCAGGGATATGGCCCAGCAATCTGTATTTTAGAAAAATGAGGTAGCTGGGTGCTGTGGTACGCTCCTGTAATTCCAGTGGCTTGGGAGGATCACAAAGTTCACAAGGATCACAAGTTCAAGGCCAGACTCACCAACTTAGCAAGACCCAGTCTCAAAAAAATAAAAAGGTCTGGGTTACAGCTCATTGGCAAATCACTCCTGGGTTCAATCCCCAGTATATAACATAACTAAGTGAAAAGGAGAGAACAAGACTTATGGATGGGGAGGGGTGGAGCAGGGAACAACTGTGCTTTTTACTTTTAAACTATTCACATATATTACTTTATTTTTAAAATTAACTGGTAGTAATGAAAGTAAGGTTTTAAAGGCAGTCTTGAATTATTTTTTTAACCTCTAAGTTTTAGAGAGGTTATTTTTATTGTTTTATGCTAAAACCTTTATAGGGCTTATTATGTGGTAAACTCTCTTATGCATTCAATATTAACTCATTTAAATTATATGAGATAGGTACAATAATTATTCACATTTTATTGACACAAAAACTAAAGACCAAATTAATCAAGTAAATTGTCTCAACTCCCAAAGGCTATATTACACCTTCAAAAATTCAAATTTTATGCAAAACAAGATGTCTTTTCATATAAAAATACAAATTGCTCAAATTGCCTCACTTTTCTTCCTGAGCGCAACTGCAGATAGGTAGCTCAAGGTGTCTTCCTACCACCCTCCAACTGTCAAAAAGGTATACAGCTCAGTGATAGAGTGCTTGCTTAGCATGCACAAGGCTCTGGGTTCAATCCCCAGCACCATGACAAAACAATAACTCCAAGAAAATGCCTTCTCCCAGGGTGACCTAAGATTTACTCGTCCAAATGAAAATTGCCATTCTCTCAGTTCAAAAGAAAACATCTGGGCATCAGCAAATACACTATAGCTCTAAACATTCAGGAAGCATCTGCTTCCAAAAAAAAAAAATCAAAATTAAATGAGTCTCTAGTGAGTAGAATTGAGAGGATTTTCTATTCAGAATCACTCCCAAATCACAATTGGACACCTCCCTTCTGAAAAGCTGTGGATTCCTGCTATTCTCTCTACCCTTCTCTAGTTTATTGTATCACTTATTTTATCACACACACCAAAATTTTCCTTAAAGACTGAAGAAGGAAAACTAAACTATGCTGTTAGAAATGAGAAGAGTGGTTATAAGAGAAACAAGGAGGAATTGGAAAAGGGTATGATGGGGGATTGTGTTGTTTCTTGACATGGTTACCCTTTTGAACATTCCTGGGCTATACACTTAAATAAATTTTCTGTATGTATGTTATACTTAAAAAAAAATTTTTAAGCCCATAACAAATACTATCAGTTAAATTACAGAAACAAAAAATATTCTAATTTCTTTTATTTAATCTCTCCTAGGACAAATAAGTTGCACCTACCAAATGGTTCTGCATGTAGATGCAGAATTACAGTGAAATGACCAGCTCACAGACACTGTCCACCTTTTCATCCCACTTCTTCCCACACTTTTGTCATCCCATGCAGGTCTTCCCCCATATAATCCCACTCTCCTAGAACAAAGGGGAAAATGGCTCATAAAAAGGTTTTTGTTTCCTTTAGCTCCTTCATTTAGCAAATGTTACTAAGATAGGCATAGTTACTCCACTCCCCTATGCCCACCCTAAAAATAAGGAAACCATGTAACAGCAATCACAACTTTGTAGCAGTTTAATTTTTTCAAAAATTGATTACTGCTACTTACTTTTTAAAATGTTCTAAAACTCATAGTGTTGTTATATATTTGCATAATGGATTTTAACAAAAATTAGTTCCTGGTGATAACCATACAATTGCAGTTTGAGAGAAAGGGATGAAAATGAATAGGTTGCTTTTGCTCAAGAGATCTAGTCATCCCCAGACCCTGATCAGAAACTAGACAAGTATGTTCATATGTAAAGCCTAAAAATAAATCAAGTTGGCTATGTAGTTTTCCCTCCCCAAACAAGATGGTAATGTTCCTGAAAAAGCAGTGGAGTTTTCAGAATTCAGAAATATACCTGAAGAAAAAAAAATTGAGGATCAGGCATGGTGGTGGGCAGGGGCCATGAGAACTAGCACACAGAATAATAATTAATAATAATTAATAATTTCTATACAATCAATTTCCATTGACCATTCCTCACTGGCTAGGTACTATTAGGGATTTACCAAAAGAACCTGGGCATACATTTTGTGGCAGATAATATAAGCATTATAGACAAATCATTCAGTCTGGTCCTTATGCAAATGTTCAGACCCTCCTGATTTTCCACTGACTCATTCTTCTCACTCCCTGTTCTTCCAACACCAGCCACTTTTTCAACCATGTTAGGAAGCATAAATATGATTTTAAGACAAAACTATTCTCTAACACAGAGTTTCTCTTGTTTATGGTGGAATTTAAAATACATATATATATATATTATATATTTCATTTCATATATGTATGAAATGAAATACACATTTCATACATACATTATGGTATTTCATACATATATAAAATGAAATACACATTTCCAATTATGATTTCCATAAAAGCTAATTTAAATTTAGGAAGGAATAACTGCATTTGATTAACTGAAAAGAACCCAAACATGTAAAAAATTCTTAGCAGTTTCCCAGGCAATTTCCCTTAAGCTTACCTGGAAAACATTGGACTTAACAATTGTCATCAAGTTGCTCAGCTAAGGTGAGCAACCACTTTTCCCAGCTCACAGAAAAGACTGCCCAGATTCCCTGAGAACAGGATTTCAGCCATCAAAAATCACTTCCAATAAGGAGAAAGAGGGAAAAACTGCTTGAATTAAAAGTTAAGATTAGAGTATGTATGTTTTCCAAGGAGACCAAAGACTGTAAAATGTTTTTAGGGTCTTAAAAATGAGATAACACTCTTCCACTTGATGTTCCCACAATTAATGGACAATGCTGCTATGGTTTATAAATGAACCTTCTCCTTCTGCCTGTTTTCTGCCACTTACCCTGACAGCTGGACTCTTGTCTCTCAACATAGGTTCCCCTCCTCATTCTATTCAGCAAGTAATCTCACCTTTCTCTTTTATTTTTGAAAAAGTTTTGTTTAGCTGCTATCTTACTGACATTACAGAACTCATTATCGAACCCAGGTAATCTCCCCTAATAAAAAATAAAAAGTCCAGGTTAGTGAATTTTAGATTTAATACATTATGATATTTAATACACTGAAATTCATAATCAACTTTAGTCACACCTATTAGAGAAAGGACACACCCTATAGAAACTAAATTCTGCAAACACTTTTGAGTTAATTCTCAGTAATTTTTAACTTTGAGATGACTTCTCTTTAGTCCTTATTATATAAGCAAAAATATTTCTGTCTATTCCAATCCTAGCTATAATTGATTTTTGAGATTATACATTATTTCTAATAATCTATCATGATAATTAATAAATAAATAAATAAATAAAAGAAAGTAATAATTAAGTGCCTGGTATGGAGCCTAGCCTATCCCATAATAAATCATCTGCAAGTAAATGGCAAATATTATCCCTTGTCAATTACAGATCTGTGAACAAACACTTTAAGGTATTACAGCAGTGATTAAAAATAAATTCTAAAAAATATGTAAATCTTCATTAAGAGCCCAATCTTAATACTATCTTCCAGTCTGGAACTGTATGTTTTGTTTTTTGGGTTTTTTTTTTTTTTCCTTTGGAGAAGTGTCTTTTTACCAACACTGCCTTTTCTATTATTTACAAACAGAATGCCAACAGTAATTTTTTTTTTTAATATTTTTTTTTTTTTTTAGTTTTCGGTGGACACAACATGTTTGTTTGTATGTGGTGCTGAGGATCGAACCCGGGCTGCACGCATGCCAGGCGAGTGCGCTACCGCTTGAGCCACATCCCCAGCCCCAAACAAGAGTAAATTTTAACCATGATTGTTTTCTTTCTGGCTCACTAAGGAATAGAATGTTGCCTCACAGCTTTTTTCTTACTCTCATCCCTGAATTAAATAGTCTAAGGTATCTTGCAGAAACTATAATTAGGCTCCTTCTTATGCCTTCTTTTGCTTTATTCATTTAAACCTAAAAGATAATGCTTTTGAATTGTGGGTCATAGATCTATATTAGATTCATCCTGAAGGCTATTTCTACTTGAAATGGTCCCAGATGTGTGGTATCAGACAAAAGAATCACTGCTCATGAGTTACTCATCAGGACCCTTCTACTCATCCCAAAGCCAATCCCCCACCTCTGAAAAAGGGAAAACAAAGAAA